TCCATAATCCAGCGAATGTTGGCAATTTGATCTCTCGTTCCTCTACCTCTTCGAAACCCAGCTTGTACTTCTGGTAGTTCTCTATCCACGTACTGTTGAAGCCTAGCTTGTAGGATCTTGAGCATTACCTTGCTAGCGTGTGATATGAGTGCAATTGTGCGATAGTTTGAACATTCCTTGGCATTGCCCTTCTTTGGCAGACATACAGATAATGATTTTCCTACTTCCCTCTCCTTTCATTTTATGTCCATTCTGTGTTTGATGAGTTTTATGTATATTTTTGTTAAATTTATGGAGTGCCCAGTCTGAATTTTATCATCAAGGAGGAAGGCTTTTAGCCAAAGCACATTTGGTATTGATCTTGTATAGGATATAATTTGTACCTTTTCACATAGTCAGCCAGAAGCTTCACATGGGCCTCTCCAAAGGCAGTATTCCTTTCCCCCCAAAGTCTCCAGGTTGTTTCCTATCTTAGCGGTTGACCCTCCAATAGAAAGCCTAGCCTCAGAGGTGGTTCATCCAAAAGATGGTGAAGGCTCTTAAGAGATAGCACCAGTAAAAACATTTTGCTGCCCTCTTCAGATCAAATGAGAGGTGGACATTCTTTTTTAGGGCTGTAGCTGCTACTATTCTCATGGTGAGAGAGAGCTCTCTGTGCTGATGTGTGCTGTCTCATCAAGGAGAGATTTGTGGTTTAAGAATTAGACCACTGTCACATCGTTTAAATCTGGCCACTTAGCATTTTCCGGAGTGAGAATTTCTTTTGGTGACTAAGTGGACGAGATTGTTATTGATACATTGTTATTGCTTTCTCCAACAAGCAAGTGGGTTTTAGAAACAGTCACTCTTGGCTGTTCCACCTACAGCGTCCCTCAAGATAGTTTCCCCTGATCTCCATTTATCCATTGTCCTAGCAACAGGCAAGGGTCCTAGTGGGTAATCTTGTTAAAATGAAATTTATTGAACCTGTTCTGTGACATCAAAGATGCTCTGGCATCTACTGCCTTGTATTCATAGATCCCAAGAGTAATGGGGACTGGAACACCATTCTGGATATCTTTTGAGCTAGGAAAGATGTACAAGTAATTCATATGGAGGCTGTCCAATTCATAGGAAGGTTCTACAGATGGAGAATTTCTATAACTTTGATAGACTTAATGGAAATATATCTTCATGTTCCCTTCTTTCCTGCTTACTGCCAATCCCTTGGATCCAGTCATGAGACGCATCAGCTCCAGTTCAAGGCCCTGCCTTGGGCCCATGTGTATCCCCAAATATAAAGGCAGCTTTGGTAGCCAGCCTCTAAATAAAGGGATGGTTGTATCCATCCCTACCTGGGCAATCTCTTGATCAGGCTGCTCTGTATTGTCATGGTAACACAGGATCTCAAGGTCACTATCAGATATTTCAGGAACCATAGGTTCCCCATCAGTCACCTGAAGACACAGCTAGTCCTTAGCAACCTTAAAGCTATCATAGATTTGGCAAGAAGGAAAACTTTTTCTCCTGACAGGCAAGAAAAGATCTTAGATGTAACTTTCCCGTGCAAGGGAAAAGGAGCTGGCACAAACTGATGATTAGAAAGGCATTTGCCTTTCCCCTCTCACCAGGAGCCCCTTCAGGAATTTTTGAGGATTTCTGTCTGATCATCAACTGGAAGGTCTCCAAGATGAAACTCAGCAAATGGATTGAAGGCATAGCCTTGGTATGGTCCTCACAAGGATTAAGAATTCCTGAAGTCATTAAAAAATGCTCTCAGTTCCAAGTGCAGCTACCTCAGCAGTATTTAGCACTAATGCTTCCATTTCAGACATCTTCTGCAATGTGGGCATTAATATGCTTGTTATTTCAGTATCATAAGATGGACTCAGCCAATGTGGTTTTGGGGCTGCAGGTTCTGTGGCAAGTCATTTGAACTTTCTTCTTAAGTAGGCAATACTCCCTCCCGCAGCCAACCACAGGGCCCGAGGAAAGGCCTGCCCGCCCGTCCCGGCCTTCCACAGCCCACAGCTGCGGGGTCCGAGGAAAGGCCTGCCCATCTGCCCCTGGCCTTCCACGGCCAGCTGCAGGGCCTGAGGAAAGGCCTTCCCCGGCCCGCAGCCAGCCGGGGGGGGGGGAACCGCGCCCAGGTGCACCGGCATCCGCATGCTGCCTAGCCGAAGCCACTTCTCCAGGCTCTAACACTCCCACCTTCCCTTCCCTCCTCGCCACCCCGCTTCCAGCCCAACCAGCCTCACAAAGCCAGAGGTTGCCTCCTGCAACCTGGCACCACCAACCCTCAGGCTGTGAGAATGTGCATGCATGAAAAATCAGTTGCATCATATGGTATGGTTGGAAAGGAATACAACAAAGCAACCTGCTGGACAGCTGTGAAAACAGACAAAGCTATCAATGAAAAACCAGCTCTTTGCAGTTGGTGAACAGGATGGTCAACCAAACTGGCAGCTGTTCAAGCATCCCTACATAAGAGTAGGGATGAGCCAATACAATGTATGTATCTAGCCTTCTGACACACTTCCGGTGATGTCAGGGGGATGTGGCATATGCAAATAAATTATGCTAATGGGTTATGCTAATGAGCTCCTGCACCTCTTTTTCTACGAAATGATCCCTGGATGTAGCAATCCCATTCTGAGGACTCACCCACCTTCACTCTTATGTTCTTTGTTGGTTCTCATATTTTGCTCCGTATTTTCATGCATTGACCATTTTGTTTTGGTCTCTTCTATGGTGTCACAGTTTTTCCTTAAATTTGTTAATTCCCCGGTTTTCTCAAGTCAGTAAACTCTTACGTGTCTTGCTGAATATCTATGGGATTCTTGCCTGAAGAGGCACATAATATGGTCAAAGTTGGTTCACTATGGAAGCCTACGAGCTGAAAATAGGCAGATACTCCTTCTCCAACTGGAGAATGAAAGATCAGTCATGTTCTTGCCTCCAGGGACTGTGGATAGAAGAGTATCTTAAATGTTCCAGAATGTCTTCCTCTGTCTCATGTAAAAAATCAACCTTTCAAGTTCCATTTGTGTAAGATCTGCTATATTTTATCCTATGGATTGAAATGTGAAGAAATGGAATTTCTATTGTACGCATATTCCTAGCTCAAGATAGAACAGTGATTCCTTTGTGTGCAAGAACTTCCATGTCTAAATATGTTTCCCTGCAGGTGACTGGAGCTGTAGATATCTAAGGCAGCAGTGCCTGTGAGTGCTATGGTGCCCACTTCCTCCTTTCCGGAGGCAAAGAGCCAGTGTTGGCTTTCTTCCACCTCATTGGAATAGGGGTGCTTCAAAAGAGCTGCATAGTGTAATTGTGCAAGATTCAGTCTCTGCTTTTGTCAGGCTTTATAATATTTTTATGCTATGTATGTAGACACTTAAAAACTAACTATTTATTTTAGCATGGCTTTTGTGAGTCAGAGCTTACTTCTTCAGTTGTATAAGCATGTACATTGATTAGACTTGGCTAAATAGCCAATGGGGGGGGGGGTGATACCACGAGAGGCTGTTGTAAAAGATCCAGTAGAAAAAGAAATCAGTTCACCTAGAGTAGGTGTGAGACATTCCCAACCAACAGCATCAGAGTACAATAAACATCAAATGTAATGCAGGATGAAATGAGATATCCTGCATTAGATTTCACATTTATTTTACCCTGCTGCTGTTGGTTGGGAGTGTCTCATGCGTATGCTAGATGAACTGATTTCTCTTTTGCTTGGATGTTGTTTTACAATAGCGTCTCTTGGTGTCAGTCACCCTCCCCTCTTCTACTGGGTATTTAACTAGGCCTAATCAATGTACACATCTATGCATCTGAAGAAGCAAACTCTGACTCAGGAAAACTCATGCAGATTTTTTTTTAAATTGTGAAGGTGGTACTGAACTCCTGGGTAGTTTTGCTGCAACAGACTTAAACAGCTACCCATCTGGAAGTATTCTCTGTTGGACATCTCCCTTATATATAAAAGTGGAATGGTGGTGGCACTTCTCTAGAACATTCCACGCGCTCTGGAATTGGTTGGCGCCCTGGTGTGTCACTCAGAATCTGTCCCTATCCACTGGCTGCATTGCTTTAGTCTCGCCTCCAACATTCTAAAGAGTTTGCTATTCTTCTCCCCCCCCCATAGCCAGTCAGAACACAGAGGTTATTTGCATATGCAGCCTCATTGGCCTTTGCCTCGGAACACAGAGGTCGTTTGCATATGCGACTTGATTGGCTTTTGCCTCTAACATTCTAAACAGTTTGCTCTTCTGAGGTAAAATGTGTCCAATCTCCAGGTGAGGGCTGGAGATCACTCAGAATTACAACTGCTTTCCAGATGGCAGAGATCAGTTCCCCTGGAGAAAATGGTGGGCTCTGTATCCTTATATGCTGCTGAGGTGGCCCCCGTATGACAGCCAATGTGACGTAGCAGTCAGGGCTTCAGAGCATGGGAGAGGCTGCAAGTGGAAAGCCGATCAGTGAGGGGGAAATAAAGGTAGGTTGATGATTGGCTGGGAAGGAGATAGTGTTGCCAACTCCAGTTGGGAGATTCCTGGAGATGTGAGGGATGGAGCCTGAAGAGGGTGAAGTTTTAGGAGGCGTGGGACCTCAGACAGGTACAAAGCCATAGACTCCACCTTCCAAACCAACCATTCCCTTCTGGGGAACCATCGTTGCCAATCTCCAGGTGGAGGCTGGAGATCACTCAAAATTACAACTGTTCTTTAGGTAGCAGAGATCAGTTCCTCTGGAGAAAATGGTGGATTCAGTGGCATTATACCCTGCTGAGGTCGCCACAGCAAATTGACACTGAGTGTCCATGGCCAGGGCACCCACCCAGGGCCTCTTTCTAGAGATTGTTGTATTTATTTCCACAATGGGCCTTTTTCCTAGTCTTTAAATATTGTTCTTCCCACTTAAATATGGTAGAGATGTGTGTCTTCCTGTACAGGCACATTTTTAGAGCTTGGCAAATTATGTGTTGCTTCTCCTTACATTATATATTTCATATTTTTTAGGCTTTATGTGGCACTTCAATCAATGTACCAACAATAGAAGGTCGAACCATACCTATGACAGTAAATGAAGTTGTAAAGCCTGGAATGAGAAGAAGAATTATAGGATATGGTTTGCCATTTCCTAAAAATCCTGATCAGCGAGGTGACTTAATCATAGAATTTGAAGTAGTCTTCCCAGATAGTATAGCTCCAGCATCAAAAGAAGTACTCAGGAGGAATCTTCCTGTTTCATAAGGAAATAACCTCTATTAACTTTTCCAAGATGATGCTGAACATTGGAAGATTTATGCTGTAAAAGAGCAATCTATAACTGTGGAACTTTTTGGTGTGTGTGGATGTGGGAGGGAATTATGCAGTGCTGCATGACGATAAAAGGGGCAAATACACAAGACTTGCTATCAAGTATAATGCTAAAACCACTTGCTATATTTTAGATCTTCCTTTTCAGAAAGTTTATCTGGTATTTTGCTTACATGTAAAATGTAGTCTGGGGAGAACCCTCTGTGTGTATCTTTCTAACTATATTTCTTGATCATCTATGTAGGGTATTATACCGTAATATCAGAATTCATAATACAAGTCCATGTAGTAGAGGAAATATTCATGTTGTATATATGCCTGCATGCTTGGTTTTCATTGCACATAGCAGAAGGCAGAAAAAATCACTTAAAGCAGAAGACAGAAAATATCACTTAATGTTCATAAGCCCAAAGAAGGTAACGTTTTTATTATAGCAGATGCTAAGGCATTCTTTTGCTCGTTAAGTAGAATGCTAGCCTGGTAGCAAAGAAATGTACCTGTCAAAAGGTAGACCTTTTGCAGTGTAGCAAATTTCCAGGTGGAAATGCCTGTGAAATACAGTTGCATTAAAGACTCAAATAGCTACAGGCAGCCCATGTAGAAGATGATCTTTCTTAACAACAACATGAAAGACAGTTGGCCTATATATATATTTAATATATAGATAGATAACTCTGTATATCTCACACACAGATGCTAGTATTTCAAAGGCATGAAAGTTCCATGAATGATATATTCCTATCTATATCATGATTATTCAAAGAAAGAGAGGGGGAAAAGCCCTCAATATTCTAGTTTTTATAAAACATCTATAGGGCTGGTACCTTGGATGGCAAAATAAATCTACTTAACGTGTTTTCAGCATTTGCCTTGAAACATGCTTCAGTGTTCTAATATATGTAAGTAATTTTTTGTTAAGAAGAAAAATTGATTTTATTATCTGTTCATGTGCTGGTAACTGCACTGTTAATAACAGCCATTTTGATTGGTTCCACTTAGGAAAAAATAAATATTTTGGGAATTGGAATTTAGTTATGACACCTATTTATAACTACTAGCACATTTGAAATCCATGTTAGGATTATAATATTCCTGTGGGAGTTTTTTTTTTTTTAGAAACTAACATAATTTGAGCAATTTAGCAACTTTTGACTTGATTTCATACCTGGAATACAAACTGAAATATGCAGTAGGCTGCTAAAAGTGACCCAGAATGCTTGCTTTTATGAAAGTGAGAAAGTCAAAATTGCCGCTTATTCTTTATGCAAACTGTTTGTGCACAAAATTTTCTTTATGGTCTGTTTTGCATTTCATACATTTTTTAATTAAAATTTGTTTTAATGTTGTCTCTCTGTTTTTTTACTGATACTTGGGGACAAGGGTTAGATCAATGTGTAATATACAGCTCCAGCATTTTCAGTATTGGTGGTGGTGGTGGTGGTGGAAAATGTTACCAAGTTACAGCCAATTTATGGTGACCCCGTAGGTTTTTCAAGGCAAGACGCAGAGGTGGTTTACCATTGCCCGCATCTGAATAACAACCTTGGACTTCCTTGGTGGTCTCTCAGCAAAGTGCTACCCAGGACTGACCCTGTTTAGTTTTCAAGATCTAATGCAATCAGGCTAGCTTATGTCATTCACATCAGAGAGCCAGTTTGGTGTAGTGGTTAAGTGTGTGGACTCTAATCTGGGAGAACACGGGGAATAGGATCAAGTGACATTGTAGTTTGAGGTATAATATCTTCCTCAATGGCTATATTATCTATTGCTGGAAGGATATGGTATATTTTAGTCTGACATGCATAGCACTAGGGAGCAGATTATGTCACATGTTTATTCTGAATGCTGTACATTATTCTCCCATTTTATCCTCAACAACCCAGAAGGTAGGCTAGGATGAGAGAGCATGGCTCACTTGAGGTTACCCTGAGAGCTTCATCGCTAAGTGGGGGTGTAAAACTGGGTCTCCCCAGTCCTAGTTTGGCACTGCTGTATCACAACTACTCTCATTATACAATCAAAGTCTTCTCTTGGTTGACCTCCCATTAGCAACTCTCTTGTCTGCATTTTCAATTGGTTACCGTCTTCATCCAGCTCATAACCCTACTGAGGCAGTCATTCATAGCTAAACATCTAGATTAGAGTCCAGTAGCACCGTAGAGACCAACAAGATTTTCCTGGATCTCATGAAAAATAGTTGGGTGTCAGTGGTGCACTGATGATGCCACATTCCTAATGGAATGACTGTCTTCCCCATTGATTGCACATTGATGTTAAAGAGTACAGAGTACAAAACATGACCTTACAATATTCCATAGGACAGGGTTCCCTGACCTGATGCCTGTGTGTCTCTCAAGAATATATTTTAAAACAACATGTTCACTTCAAAAGGCATTGTGTTAAACAGAGCTTCCTGAAATGCTGAAGAGTTAATATTACAGCTACACATGATCTCACGTCCTGAGATTTTGTGGTTGACTCTGCCATACAGTGTCAGAATTCCAAAGGAGCCCACAGATTCAAAAAGGTTGGGCACCCTTGCAAGGTGGCAAAACCTGTGGAGCAGAATGAAGGATGCCCAATAACCTTCAGTGGGTAACCAAAGCAGAATGCAGCCAAGTAATTTTGAGCCAAACTACACATAATGCAGGGTTTCTGTGATTAGAATTCATGTGTTATTTGGCCCTAAAAAACAACTAGAGAGGATGCAGATGGTCTGTACTGGAGCTAGTCATGCTGATTTATTATTTGGAGACACTGTGGTGCCCCACCCCAGCTGCTTTAAAGCCCAGTGTGGGGGAAAGGTACCTGTTCTATATCTAAATTTCCCCCCTTCCAGGCTATTAAGCTGCTTGGAGTGACATGGAATATTTCCAGTAATATAAATAGGACTTGTGTATGTTTAGGTGGGGGGAACACCTCCCTTCAATTGTGCCATCAATCCAATCCCTCTTCACTTGCTTTTACAGGGTTGCCACTTTCTGGAAAGTCAGGGAAATGGAAATTGGTCAGGGAAATTGCTCTGAAGTCAGGGAAAGTGTGATTAAAGTATATTCAAGCAGTGGATTCTTGACCTGCTGCTGCAAGAGCATGATCTGTTCTTGTGGCAACTGGAATAGAAAAGTAGCAGAAAAGTAAGACAGATGCCCTTTCCCAGCTCCACCTTTTTCTCAGCTCCACCCCCAGCAACCAGCCTAGTGTGTTTGTTGAGCTCTATCCCTGCATGATTTCCAAGGTCTGCCTGTAGCATTTGCAAAGCAAGGCTAGTTTAAACGTTTAGCATTATACAAGCTTCTAGCATTATACAAAACATCTAACTGTTTTCATGCCTACCTGCTAGTATTGCATTTAACCTACATATAAAGATAAGCATCTTTATGGCATCTTTATATGTCCCCTCTTTCATGCTTTAAAACTCTTTGTCTTTACCGGATCTCTTTGGGATGCGCAGCCAAAGAGATCCCCTTACACGCACGCACACACACTAGACCAGCTGGTTCTGGAACAGTGTGATGTAGGTAAACTTCTAGACACTATTTTTTGTCCCTTTATTTCTCCATTGCAACAGACAAGTCTTCTAGAAACAGGCAAGTATGAACCGATTTTCCTGCCTACTTCCAAGTAAATAACTAAACTATTTTATTTCTATTTCTGTAATTCTAAAGGAACCTTGAGTGTATGCGAATTGTGAGACTGATGTTTTTGTATGTGTGACTTTGATATCCTTCAGTAAAAAGATTATTTGCTTTGGAAAAATACCAGTGTGATTTCAATTACTGGAACTCTGGGTTCAGACATGACCCTGGTATAGCTGGCCAGAACTCACGTTAAAAATTAGTTGGCCTCAGCTGTAGATAAAGCTGTTGGTGTAACAGAAATTGGTGCCCCCTCTGAGGCTGGCCCCGACCTGGGGTGGGAACGAGTGAGTTGACATGCTCCTTTCCCCCCATCGGACGTAAGGGAATGGTCTGTTCCTAGAGTCCATTGTAGGACAGTGTGTGAGTGGTTTCTGTCTGCGTGCAAGGCTCCCTACTGGAGCACCCTATTGTGGGAGGTTTCTGTCGCTTTCTGCCCCCGGAGCAACCCGTGACACGCTCCAATTCTATCGTTGGGTGGTACCTGAGGTGCAACGACGAAGAGGACTGATAGGGAATCCCCAAGTTTGCACCAAGCACACACATACACGTAGGCACACACATACCACCCCACCTTTCCCTTTAAACGAAGAATAAGCACTTTGTGGTTACGAGGTACCACGTCAGACCAAGAGTCTGCAGAAACCTTAGCAAAAGAGTTAGGGGCAAATCTCAGAAAAATGGGACGCGATGCTTTGAAAAACCCCACCCCGAGTTAGAGGGGAATCTAGGAAAAAGAAAAATAGGCTTTAGACGTTGCCTTGGATGTCAAGCGTGGGCGGGCATCCTAAACTAAGGAGAAAAAGAGTTAGAGGGAAAACTCAGAAGCAGAGGTGCGACGCCTCTGAAAACCTTGAACCCTGGTTGTTGCTGGTAATCCAGGAAGGGAAGTGTGGACCTGATCCCCCGCACTCCCAAAACCAGCAAAACAGGCTTTTAGACATTGCCTTGGATGTCAAGCGTGGGCGGGCATCCTAAACTAAAAATAGGCTTTTAGATGCTGCCTTGGGTGTCAAGCGTGGGCGGGAATCCTAAACTAAAAATAGGCTTTTAGACGCTGCCTTGGGTGTCAAGCATGGGCGGGCATCCTAAACTCAAATAAAAATATTGGCAAGAGGAGGCCGGATAGTCACTCTTGACCACAAAATAGGGTTCGCAGGTAAACCCAGAGGTGCATCAAAGAATCCCTCCAGAAACCTGAACGCGTCCCCCCTGTCCCTACAGGTTTGAAAAAGAGCCTGGACTCAGGGGCGTATGTAAGGGAGAAATCCCTCCCCCCATTTCCACTCCTCTTTAGGGTTTGTAGGTTTCTCCTGGATCGAGTCAACGGACCCGTTCCCAAAACATCGCTTTACTGGTTCGAAAAAGAGCCAGGATTCAGGGGCATAGCGTGGGAGCAACCCCCCCCCCCGTTTCCACATCTTTTCTTTCTCGGACTTCGTGGCCAGGACCTGCGACAAGAGTGCGCATACGCACATAGGACTTGGAAACCAGGATCGGAAATGGAGTCACTGAGGAAACTGTTTGCTTTCGGTGCGTCCATCCCTGATCCGCTTGAAGGCAACGACCCTCCCATGACAGACGGACACCCTCGACTGTGGGACGTTGTCTCCATCGAGGACCCGGTATTCCTGCCCATGGGAGTATGGTTTTGTTTGTGCTTTGTTCTGGGATGGATAGCCTACCACCGCCAGATGGACAAAATGAAAAGGAACTGGGACCGAGAACTAGACAAAATTAAGAAATTGTCAGAAGCGTGAGCCATCCAACTGATGGAGCGTGCCAATGAACTGGAACAGATGCTAAAAGCTCATGCAAGTCAGCTCAAGGCCACAAAGTCAGAATTCCTTAGTGGAAGGTCTGACCTCGTTGCAGCACATGAAGGAGAGCTCAGAGTACTAAGAGAGGAACATAATCGCCAATTAGAATTTTTAAGAAGAGAGCCCAAAGAGGAGATAGAAAAATTACAAGCAGAAATGGAGAAACAGAGATCCGAACATGTTCTTGGGCTTGATTCCCAAAGGAACTATTATGAGACCTTATTAGAAAAGAAAAAAACTGAATTTGAGGATGAAATAGGAGAGATCCAAAAGGCAAATGATGAGGAAGCTTACCTAATGAGGGCAGAGAGACTAAACTTAGTCATTGAAAAGCAAAGCTTGGCAGATGCCATGCAAGAGACTAAACGCACAAGCGGGAACCTCTAGAGAGAGCAACTCAGGCTGAGACAGCTTTAGCTAAAGTCACTGAGGAGCTGGCCGCAGCACAATCAGCTGCCCGCTACCTCGCTGAACAAAACCATGCTAAAAGAGAGCTTACAACACACGATTCCTGCCACAAAGAGATTGAATCCATTAAGGGACAACTGGGACTCCAGCGCGCGGTCATATCCGCCATTCACCCAGAAGGTTTAATAGACCTATACGGCAGTGAATCCGATGTGAAAGAGGAGGTGAAATCTTTGAGGATAGTCGATCCTCAAAGATCCCTCTTCATTAACCCAGTCAATACCACCACTCACACCATTAAGAGTGGCAATAATGGACCTCCTCACTACCCCACCTCCCGAGACTTGTACAGTCCAACAGGAGAGCCTGGGAATAAACTTGGGAAATTCAGGGGGAACTATCAGGAAAGGAGAGCTAATAGATGGAACCGGAGGGGTGGGGGTACCTACAAAGGGAGAATGAGCCACAGAAATGGCCTCACTCCTGTTCAGACATACCTCCAGCCCTCTGCTCCGCCCCTTTACAATCAGGGAACACAGTTCGGACCATCCCAAGGGTCCCCCGCTCCCCAAACTGCCCCTTTCAGCCTCAAGTGTCAGAGCCAGTCTTTCGGAGCGACCAAAGGCAAGACCAAGGTAGAGGAATCCCTAGAGAAGACCCTCTCCGTTGGCAGGCCTGGAGAAAACTCAAAGAAAGTGGATACAACATGGACTACTTTCATCAGCAGCCTGATGAGGTCCTCCTTCAGGCGCTCGTCAATAGTGAAAACTTGGGGAGTTGTCCCTCGGCTCCATAGGCGCAAGCTCCCCCGTTGGGACCAGCCCCTTCGTGGAGCCGGCCCCACAAATAGACTAGGAACGCCTTGAGCTCAGGGCTCTGACCCAGGGTGCCGTAGCAATTTCAGCCGGACACTTGGGGGAGGCCCACGGTCACAGCGAGGACCACAGCCCCAGGGAAAAATACCCCTGCAAGCAACCAGGGACAAATTCCACCTCTGGCATGTGATGGCTGAGCTGCGTTGCCACTCGGCCATCACACGCAAGAGGTCATTCTGGCTCCACCAGGTCTTGTTAGGGCCTCTTTAAAAAGTTACTTCCTAAATGGCTATTTTTATTTCAAACAATACCCATTCTTCAAAACCAAAGAATCTTCAAGGAACTGGAGCAAGCGTTATCAAAATTTATTTGGCAAGGCAAGAGACCCAGAATAAGACTGAAAGCTCTTCAAGATACTAAAGAAAGGGGGTGCTTTGGCTTACCTAATTGGAACCTTTATTATAAAGCAGCTGCATTGACGTGGATTAAAGATTGGTCACATTGGAAGATAAGAGAACACTGAAATTGGAAGGCCATGACCTTCAATTAGGGTGGCATGCATTATTATGGTATGGAAAAGCAAGTGTTCATAAATATTTTAAGCAGTACTGGATACGGGCATCTGTAATGAAAGTATGGGAAAACATACATAAGCGCTTTTATATAAAAATCTCAAAATTGACTGTTCCACTAGAAGCCATCACACTCCCAAATGCATACCAGGAAGAATTACCAAGAAGGTATTTGGATATTTAAAAACCTTATAGAGATTGAAAAGATTATGACATCTATGGATCAGAAGCTTTTACGAAGCTTTTATGTGTTGTTACTTGATGATTTAATGGTGGATGAAATAATAAAAGGGAATATGATTCAATGGGGGTAGAATATTGGGCATGCTGTTAATTTAGAGCAGTGGGATCAAATATGGAAGAAAAATATTAGGATTACGAAAGCTATTTCGTATAAAGAAAACATATATAAAATGTTTTATAGATGGTATGTAACACCTGAAAGGTTAACTAAAATTGACCCGAAATGCTCGAATAAGTGTTGGAAATGTTGGTTGGCTCATTTTACCACATGTGGTGGCATTGTGAAAGATCTAAGAAATATTGGGTAATGGTACATGAAATCTTGTAAAAGGTACTAGGGACGGTAGTACCATTTACACCAGAGACTTTGTTGTTGAATATTCTACTTGATAATTCTAACAAAGATGATTGTTATTTGATTATTATTTTTTTTACTACGGCTGCAAGAATTCTCTATGCAAAATATTGGAAATTACCGGAGATACCAACAAAACGAAGACTAGTAAATAAAATCAGGGAGGCTGCGGAATTGGATAAATTGACTTTATTGATAAAAGGCGCAACAGATTCGACATTCCAGAATACTTGGTCACGGTTTTATAATTGGTATGATAAATATATGTAGGCAAGCTTGCAAGAGACAGACTAAGAGTTTACTAAATGAAATATATACCTGTTAGGATGATAGAGACAGAAAAGTTGCTTACACAGTTGAGAAATTGTTGTTAAGGTGGAATAGGCACCAGTATAAATATTGGTAAAAATTGAAAATAACCTCCATGTATCTGTTTGTACTGTGTATATGTATGTATATGTATGTATATGTTATGATTGTTTGTGTATGTTATGTGGAAAATGTAATAAAACCCTGCCCCTTTGGGGGCAGTTTATTAAAAAAAGTTATAGCTGCAGCAGCATGTTCCCCCCCCCCTCTCAGACCCTGCTGAAAAAATATCAAAGCAAAGAGGTATGGCGCTTTTCCTGCCAATGTTTCCAGCCTGAGAGAGTCTCACTTTCAAACTGCGCCTAAGATCGCGGCTTTGCGCCAGATCCTGCGCCTGTTGACTGAAGAATTCCTTTGGCATATTCCTCTGAGCTTGGGTGGGGATCGTCGATGTATTCCTTCACCTCCTCAGGCAGTATTTACAGAAACCGTTAAGAGAGGGCAGAAGAATACACATTTCAAGGGATTCTCCGTACAAGTCTTTTGTGGTACGGTGGTGGTGGTGTGACGGCGGGCTGGTCGTTAAGAAGCTCTGCGGCACGAAAAGAGACACCTTGTTCCGCGACAGCTTCAGGCGCCGCCAGGTTGCCCCTTTTACCATCCCGGGCAGAATGGGCTGCCGCCATTGGTTGCCAGTGGCAGTCACCTGGCGGGTGAGCCGGGAGGGAGGGAGGCGCGCGCACAGCCTGAAGGGGCAGAGTCCGGGCAAGGAAAGGCAAACGGCCGCCGCCGGGTGCAGCAGGTGGTTCGGCTTGGTAGCCTTTTCTCGGGCGGGCAGGAAGATGCCGCTGGGGCTGAGGGGCAAGAAGAAAGGCAAGTCCAAGGAGACCTCCATGCTGGTGGAGGCTGAGGCGACCGTGGCGGGGGGGAGGGGCGAGGAGGAGGACGTTGCCGGGGCAGGCCCCCCACTCGCCGCCGCCGCCGCCTCGCCCACCCCTCAGGTCCCTATCCGGCTCCTCTTCCACGCGCAGCTGGCGCATGGCAGCCCTACGGGGCGCGTGGAAGGCTTCGCGAGCGTGCGAGAGCTCTACGCCAAGATAGCCGAGGCCTTCCACATTGCCCCGACGGAGGTAGGTGACTTTTGCCCTTCCGCGGAGTGATGCTATTTTGCCCTCCCCTCTCCCAGGCGCAGTCTCCTACTGGCGTTTACTTGTGAGTAGGTCCCGCTAGGTACGGTGGGCTTTACTCTCAAGTAGCCTCATGCAAGAATGCAGCCCGGCGTGAGGTGCCTTTTTGCTCTGTTTGAACCGCTTTTGCGCAGCCAGCCTGTGTGAATGCCTGAGCCGGGGATTTCGATCTGTTTTAATGTTTGCGAGTAAGGAATTCTTAATGCCGGATTAGTTAATACCAAGTACAGAAGTTTCTTCAGGATATTAGAGGAAAACGGAAATACGTGGGGAGGGGTTGTCGACTTTAGACTCTAGAGTACAGAACAGTGGGCTGTACTACCTCAATTGTGAAAGAAATAAACTCTTTGTCTGCTCAGAGGCACTTTTTCAGCTTTTACTTTGCACATTCGAGGTCTGGATCTTGGTCTCTGTTGTCCTGGTGACAGCAGAAACGAAATACACAGGGCTGTCTGCTGTAAATTCAGGGTCATTCTCTGTATTAAAGTGTTTGAGTCCAATAGCACCTGTAAGACCAACAAAGTTTTATTTAAGGAGTAAGTTTTCATGTGCAAGCACACTTCCGCCTGAATCTGTATTAAAATGTGTTACTCAAGATATCTTAAGATGCTTTCAGATTTTATAGGGAATGTTTCATGTGTCAGGCTCAGTCTATGGTGGCCCTGATGCCCTCAGAGGATGATGATTATCCCTGCTAATTCAAACAACAGAGATCTATTACTAGAACTAGCGTAGCTTACAAAAGCAGTAAACTCTGGTCACCCACAGACAAAGTGGTGGACTCCCAGGGATGCAAAAAACCCCAACAACAAAAACACTTAAACAAAAACACTCCTTTGCAAACCAAGCAAAAGGGGGGGAAAGGATTGGAAAGCCACTCAGAAATGGCCTGAAGACTGAAAAATGTTCTTAAAATAGGACTTGATGGTCAGTTAGAAGCAAAGGATAAGGAGAAATGAGTCTACTTAAGCACTTGAGAGTTTGTAGTATTTTGGATTGAAGGGAGAATTTCTAAATTGTCCCCTACCTGCCTACTGTGATTCCTGTTGGATCATCAGCATGTTAGATCCAAATACAAACCAGTAATTAGTGTTATATTGTCTAGCTGCTGCTCCCACTCACCTACTGCTCCCCATAACCCTATCAATCAGGAATAAAATGGGGTTACTAGGGTATGCACAGGAAGCAAAGCTCCCCCCCCCCCCTTCCTTGGACTCTTTTCTCATGCTTGTTGTTCAATCTTAAATCAGGCAACCATTCATATGAGAAACATACTTCATTCAACTGACATGTGCACTTGGTGCCCTCTTTGTGGCCTTTAATCACCCTGGCATACTCATGGTTGGAATGTCTAGAAGTATGGATTCCTGATACTTTAGTGTACATATGTAACCTTAGAGAGGTTTCCAGTAATGTTATTGATAGTGCATGTAGAACTGTAAATAGTAAGTCTTTTGTATGGTGAAATGGCACATGTGGGTTTGATGCACATGCAGCATCAGATTTAGTAGTTCTAGGGTACAGTCATAATATCCACAGTGAACTTGCCCAGGACATTTTGGTGCCTGAGTCAGAAAAGCTATTTGGAATCCCCTTGGCAACAGAAATATAATTAAAAAAACACTAAACCAAATAATTGAGGATATGCTTCTTTTTTGCTTCCTCTTAATTGTACATGTATATCTGCCACCTGAGCTGGGTTGTCTCATCCTGCCTAAAGTCTGAGCTGGCCCTTACAGCTATTGATTTCAGGAAGATGTGTTTACACTATTTGATGGCCATCATCAAACTTTTTACTCTGGGGAAAACTTGAAGGCTGCTTCACTGATTTCAGGCCAGAAAAAGCAAAAATTCTTGCTACATCCAAGTTGTGGGAATTGTCCTATTTGCACAGCCCTGGGCATAGCAAAAGAAGCAAGCTTGAACACATGTAATTATACTCCTCGCTACATGGATCGTTTTACCTTGACATTGCAGCTTGCCACAATAGTATCTCTCCTTTATTATCATGAAGAACAATTAGGTCTTTGAAAGACAGTGAAGCTTTCCCCAGTGACAAAGAATTGCAAGTTATTTCACACCAAAAATGGTCCTGAGCTTAACCCGACACAGCAACACCAGTTTTTCACACCAAATAGGGCAACTCTTTCTTGCTTAATTTAATTATGAATTCAAAGTAACCTTAAGTACATAAGAATTATCTGATCCTTATACATTCGTCTCTGGTTATGTAGTGCTCCTATGCATTTGTTTAAAAGATCTGAAAAAAATATGGGAAGAGTTCTGGCTTGTGTTTTTTAATGGCTTATTATACTGTGGTTTTTAATTGTAAACCACCTCAAGCAAGACTCTGAAGAGGCAGCATAGAAATATTCTAAATAATATGGAACAGGAATCAAATATTCCTCCCCTGCACATCCTGTTTTTTGAGGGGGTAGGAAAAAAACTTTGAGTTTAAATTGTTTTTCAAATAGTGCTGGGTTAGATAAAAAAGAATTACTTTTGAAACAAACAGGAGTCCTTAGTCCATAAATGAAATGAGTTCAAAAATTAATTTATTGCAGAAAGTATTTAAGCACATTCTGTCACTGTAAATTGCTTAAAGTTCTGTATCCAGTCACAAAGTACTTGGTTTATATTGAGTAATGTTGTGTGAGGCTTGGGCTGCATTGGACTGCCACAGGGAGGGTGCCATAGAAAGGTGACTTGGCATGGCCAAGCAAGGTACTAGAGAGGAGAAGGCAGGAGCTGAACCTAGCAACTGAAGTCTCTTCCTAGTTTCCAGCTGGAGGTGGAGTTGGCCTCCAGGTCCCTCAGACTTCAGATGGAGGGGAGGGGGTTGTGCTCACTCAGGTATTGTTGTAGTTGCTGCTGCCTGCTCATTTTTTCTGGCCCTATCTCTTTACCAGCTCTGAGACTGGAACAGCTCCAACCACCTCCTCCTTGCCCTGAGACTGAGAGGGTTTAAATAGGCCCTCACAGCCTTTACATGCTCCACCCACTATTGCTTGGGCCATTTAGTCCTTAGAGCAAGGATGCCAAACTCTTTTGTTATGAGGGCCAGATCTGACATAAATGAGACCTTGTCGGCCAGACCATGTGTGTTATAAAATGTAATGCCAGGTACCGGAGATATAAACTTTATAAAGGACTAGGGAGAAGGCTCGTTGTTGTAAGGAAGACAACGGGCCCTAGAGAGGCCGCAGTCCTCTCGTCTCTTCCCGCACCCCACCCCACCCCACTGCTAACCGAGGCCCCGGCAGGCAAAGCTGAAAGTAGTCGCCTGTTTCCTGGACCCGCTCGAGGCAGTGGTGGGTCAGGACGCCAGGCGTCCAGGGTGCCAGGCGTCCAGGGTGCCAGGCGTCCTCCCCCTGTTCAACGCCCTGGCGGGCCAGGCGATCCAGCCTGCCCCCCCGCAGTCGAGGCGTCAGCGGGCCAGGGCACCCTACCTAATTTGTGGCTGTCCCTTGGCCCACCCGCTTGAGGCCCGGCGGGCCAGGCCAGCTGGCCTGGGCAGTTCTCTTGGCATGGCTCTCCCAGCCCCCAGCAGCATTGGCTGCGTGAGGCTCATCGGCCTGCCCCCCCCCTTCAAGGCTCTGGTGGGCCAGGGCACCCAGCATCGCCCTTCCCACCGGTGCGGCAAACTAATTTTAAAAGGTAAAGGTAAAGGTTCCTCCCGCCGGCACGGCTCCCTGCAGCCTCAGCAGTGCCAGACTCAGCAGGCTCGTCGCCCCCCCGCCGCTGGAGGCCCCGGCGGGCGAGGCCGCCCCACTTCGTCCCTTCCCTTGGTGCGGCTGTCCCAACCCCCAGCGACAGCAGCAGAGTGACCATCCTCATCCCTTCTCCCTCCCCCTCGAGCACCCAGCGGGCCAGGCCAGCTGGGCTTGTCCCTTCCCTCACCGCAGCTCTCTCCATCCCCCAGCATCAGTGCCAGTCACCGGAGCATCTGTCCTGTGTGCCTGAGGTGAAGTAGTCTTGTGAGTTGAGTTCTGGCACCTGCTGCCTCTGTGGGTGGGATGTAGCCAACCCAGCCAGTGGCCAGGGACCCGTTTGTGAGTGGCAGTCCAGGTGGCCAACTGATTTTGGCATGAATCGAATCCTGCCAACCCATAGGAGAGATGCCACCCCAAATCAGCGTTATAATATAAAGAGACACCGACAAACACAAATATATTCTTTTTTTTACTTAAAATACAAACCTGCTTAAAATATTAACACTCTTGCAATATTCTGTAGCTGATGCCCCCCTGCTGCTTGGAGCGGGGAGCGGGGAGCAAAACCTTTCCCCAGTCTGCTGTCATGGTCAGTGCTCTGAGCCTAGGACCTAAGGGAAAACATAAAATGGCTGGGAACATAAAATGGCTGGGCATTACAAGCTTTTGTACATAAGTTGCTTCAAGAACATGTGAAGGCATCATGACACAGATTGAGGGCTATGTGTTTATTTACAAAACTATAATCTTCTTCAGAAAAATAGCTACAACTCCTATGAGGCAATGCAAGAATACAGAGACAGATATGTATAGTGGTATCAGCCTACTGTCTGGGAGGCCTAGGTTAAAAATTCCCAGCCTACAAAGGAAATGTGCTGGGTGAACTTGGTCTGAACACACACACTCAGAATAATCCACTTTACTGCCTTGTTGGTATTCCTCATCCAAACAGTTCACATTGCTTTCCTACTGAGAAAGACTGGATCATGAGACCAAGGCACAGGAAAGCTCCTATCTTGAAGAATGCATTTTGGACTTAAGATGCCACTGGACTCAAACTTTGCTTTGCACAGACACAGATGTGCAGTAGCAAGGGGAGGGGGAGACAGACTCAGTTGCACCTGGGAGAGCTGCAGCATAACAAACCCAACAAAACACATACACATACACTGTAGCAAGGTACCGTATAAGGAAGCTCATACCTTGAATAAAACTTTGTTGGTCTTAGGG